AATAAAATCTCTAAACTTTGTGCAAAACTCAGGAAAATTCATTAAATTTGCACACTTATTTGCAACTTTTTATTCAGATTTTTTAGAAAAATTCTAAGTATGCAGTTTTATAGCCCATTCAAATGTAGAATAACAAAGTGCAAGTTTAAAGTTGCTAGAAAATCGCGTTGATTTTTGGCCATTTTTTTAGTGGAAGGTGTTGCTCATTTTCTCCATACAAAAAATAATTGTCGAATTACTTTGTATGGAAGAACTTGCGTGAAAAAAAATTACCAAAAATCAATGCGATTTTCTAGCGACTTCAAACTTGCACCTTGTTATTCTACATTTGAATGGACTATAAAACTGCATACTTAGAATTTTTCTGAATCTGAATAAAAAGTTGCAAATAAGTGTGCAAATTTAATGAATTTTCCTGAGTTTTGCACAAAGTTTAGAGATTTTATTACAATGTTTTTTGGTGTAGAATGAACAATATTTTTACAAAAAATTATCGAAAATAAATTAGAATAAAGAACTTTGCATATATTTCGAAAAATTCACTGTGCCAATACTTCTGTTCGGCACTGTAGGTTTTGTTAGAGAATGAACTGTAATTTAATTGAAAATGCTTAACAATTAATAATTAAACATAAGTGGCAAACAATATCACCTTGAAATGAAGGCGCTATAGATATGGCCAATAATGTATGTGTAGTATCTCGGTAACCGTTCGATCACTTTGTACAAAACTCAGTATGATTATTGTGCTTGCAACATAGAAATCGTTGAAAATTATTAAAATCGGACTAAAATTACGCCCACTTTTCATGCAGCGTTAATTTCAGAAATGCTCGAAACATCGATATATCGAAATTTAAGGACGCTAATTTACTAAAAACTGATCCTAACAACAATCCCTTGAAAAGAAGTAATATTATTAGGTAATTTTCGAAAATAGGCGTGATACCGCCCACATATAACTATATAAGTTTATCCCATTATGTCTAACTGAACGTTCTATCGAAGATGTTTGAAATAAAACCGCCGCAGCGGTAGTTTTCGGAGAGCCGAAAAAACTGTATGTAATACTTGAGCCGGGTATTTAATGTTCGGCTCCGCCCGAAGTTAAGACTTTATTACTTTTTATAGTTAAAGTTTTGATGGCAATTTTTTGAAGATTGTATAATTATTATGAAATTTGGCTTTAAGTTAAGTATGCAGAAATTACCGCCACCTCTTCTTCTATGTTCTGTAAAAATTTCATAGATGTATCTTTTACCAGTAACTCATTAGAACAAAATATGTTTTCTTTCTTACTATGGGTGTATATCCCACACCTAGATCTAAGTGGGATCAATTAAAAAAAAAAAAAAATTGGAAATTTTTTTTGCATAAATCAATGCATAGAACTTACCTCCAATGAATACAAATATTTTTTCTTCATGATTATATACACTAACTAAAAAAATACTGTTATACCGGTTTTTGAGATAATTACGTTGAATCTGTACGATCCGCAACAAGTTACATTTCCCGATCTGAATTTTAAGCTAGCTTACTTTAGATCTAGGTGTGCGATATGTAAACTCAAAACTTTAAAGCCGTTTTTCTCGTGTTTGAGCTCTTCGAGTTGTGAAACTATTGAAGTAAATGAGCGATACATAGTTAGCATAATTACATACATATGTACTGTGGTTATAATTTAAGTTATTATATCGTTAGGTTAATATATTTTTTGACACTTACGTCGCCAAATTGCTCGCGGTCATGTCATCACCGGCACCAACGTGACCCACAAAACATAAGTTCGGGTCTGCACGTATCTGACGGTACATTTCACATCCATGCTTGTATGTTCCGACCAGAAGACTCTTATCACAACACGCAGGATTCCACCACGATGCTGGCACTTGATCTGGCGTTGCAGGCGGGCGAATGGGGAGCTCGCTAAATAATAACATAAATATGATGTGATTACAAATGAAAGTTTTTTAAACAATGTAAATAAAACTAAAAAGCCATAAAAATCATAACGAAGAAATAACCAAACCAAGTTTTTCAACAATCAAAGAGTTCAAAGCCAATTATTACTTATATGTAGTTAAAATTTCTGAGTAACTGGTCTATTTTGCACGTTACCGAAGATTTTGTAACCGGAATATTTTATTACCAAAAAATGTTAAGTCGGCCGCTGTGGTGTAGTGGTAAGCAGTGCGCGCTTCCACTCCGCAGCGTCTGGGTTCAAGCCCTGGTCAAAGCAACATCGCAAAAAAATATAGAAAAAGGTTTTTTCTTAACAGCTGCCGTCCCTCGGCAGGCAATGGCAAACCTCCGAGTGTATTTCTGCCATGAAAAACAGCTTCTCATAAAAATACAATCGCCGTTCGAAGTCGGCGTAAAACTGTAGGGCCCCCGCTTTGTGTGACATAATCAAGGCGCACGCCACAAATCGGAGGAGAAGCTCGGCCAAACGCTAACATACGTGTAAGCGCCAATCTACAAAAAAAAAAAATGTTACCAGTTCTTGTCCCCGCGATTCTAGATACGGTGGTAATGCAGTTAAAATATTCAGCAATTCGGCTATGAAGAATTGTGGAAATTCTGGCGTTGCATATTTCACGGGGCAATCCTTTGTTACCAGCTTATGAGATCGTAACGAAATTTACCGGTTACAAGAGTACACAAAATGCGAAAAGGGTTTAAAATTGAGAGGAACTTTATTTACCGGTTACAAAATTTTTATAACCAGCGCAGAATAGACCTGTAAATAGACTAAACACGCATTTAAACGCAAAAATACATTTCGACTTCGCCGCAATAACTTAGAATCCTTAAACTCATCTCAAGAAATTATACAACAGTATGAGCGGTTTCGAATTCCCTGCACGCCTTGCACTATTCCTCTTTCTTACACTTTATCATGTTTACTTTTGGTGTTATTTTCTGTTTGAAAGAAGGCACGATACCTACACGATGAATTTGGACATAAATTTATCTATCGCTCATTTACTTCAATAGTGTCAAAATCCAAAAAATATAAATTCTGAGTTGAGTATGCAGAAATTACCACTACCTCTTCTTCTACGTTGCGTAAAAATTTCATAGCCGTATCGATTACAAGTATATCACTAGAATAAAATACGTTTTCATTCTTAAATGGGAGTATATGTAAATTCACGAAGTAAATGAGCGATATATACGTTGAATAAACAAATTTGTTCAGCCTCATTGCGAGTGTCGTGTCGAATGCAAGTCGTCTTTCGAGAGTCGAATCGAAAAGTGCATGGCATTGTCTAAAACAGTGTTGGCTCTAATCGATTGATTTTTTAATCAATTACTTAATTTGATTAAATTCAATTAGATCATGATTAATTTTAATCTGATTAAACAGTTAATCGTAACCGCGATTAAAAAAAAAAATAATTTTTAATCATTAACCCCTAATTTGATTAAGTAGGTTTGGTGATTAAATAATTTATGCTGGAATTTTACTGTGCACGCAAGGCCAGTTAATCGGGAAAGTCCATTTTCGTCATGAATCTAAGCAATTTGGTGTGCATTTTCATTCAGTTTATGTATTACTTATAATAATAAATAATTTTTTTTTTTATATATATGATGCGTTTTTTATAAGCGTGAAACACAGAAAAATAACTATAATCCGTGTTTGGTTTCAAATTCGGACAAACTAGACCACTTATTCAGATTTTTTTTTAATTGGATTAACGATTAATGGTTAAGATTAATTAATCGTAATCACAACCGACGATTAACGATTAAAAAAATTGAATCATTAATCGTACGGATGATTACGATTAATTAATTTTAATTGTTAATCGCGATTAACATTTTAATCGTTAATCAGATTAACATTTTGCCAACACTGTCTACAAACTCGATTCAACTAGTGTATTAAAATGGGAAAACTTTGCAGCACTGGATAGTTTTCAACAGGTTTCGTCGTCTACTTTTTTCAGAACGACAATAGGCAATGCCAATCTTGTCGAGTCATGCATTTTAGTATAATTAACGACGTACGCAATGACGCTGATTATTTCAGTAATTGATGGACTAATTAAGCGATCAACTGACAACGTAAATACATATGTAGGATGTATAAAGTTATATGAAAGCGAATGAATCAATTAGCTCTTTGATTAAAATTTAGTAGAAAAACAAATAGTATTTACACAGTATTTAACATCTTAACATAAAATCACAGCAAATATGAATACTGAGTGAATAAACACTAGGCCTGTGCGATTAATTGATTATTCAAAATTTTAATTAATCATAAAGTAAATAACTCAATCATTCGATTAATTGGAAATCATGATTACTCAAAAGTTCAGTTACTCGAGTAATCAAGATTTTGATTAACCGAAAACAAAAATATTTGAGTAATTTGCTTTATGATCAATCAAAACTATGAGTAAAATAAGTAATCAACATTTCAAAGTACTCTTTACATATAAAGCAGTTAAAGTTCCTTGATACTTTGAAAACAACGTTTCTGTTTCCGCAAAATTAATTTTTTTGATCAATGATATTTCAAGTAACTCGATTAATCATCACTTTGAGTAATCAAAATCTTGATTACTCGAGTAATTGATTAACCGAATAACTGATTAACCAACTTGCTCGAGTAATCGAATAATCACACAGCTCTAATAAACACAAATAAAAAAATAAATGAAATATGAAAAACGAAAACATCGAAAGTAATTAAAAGTCGAGTATAATTCTTGGTATAAAGCGTGAACCACTGAGGAAGGATATACAAATTTTTATCGAGACACTTATGAATGTATGTATAGTAACAGCTTAAACTTTGTATTTTTTTCTAGAATATCCTACAGCACGTCAAATTGGGAAGAATTTCTTGACATAATTAAGTCGGTTCCAGGTACTTTAAAGGATTTTACAGCAAGTTGTTCCCGTATGACACCTCACATATCGTTTATTAAAGGCGACATTTTGTTTTAAGATTTAGTATCGAAAATGTTATTTCAAAAATTGCCTAGGAAGGGGAAGCTAATTGTAAAAAGATAAAGCCTTTTAGCAATATTTGTTAGAGCATATTTCCTAACAAATGCATTTTTTTGCATATTTCAGAAATAAATGCTAAATTTAGAGCATATTCAAAAACTGTATTTTTTTTTTAGTTACAGATTGATAGAAATCTACTCTGGACGGTAAATTTTTGGACAACTGTGAGGTGAATAAAAATTGCATCACACTTACCTAACGGTTTTGACACGTATTTTGTTATAATAATAGTGGTATTCACCAAATTGAGCAAGTGGCCTGGCACTCTGGCAAAAGAGCAGATGAGCTCAAGCAACGACTCTATTACTCTTTGCCAGACTGCCAGGTCACTTTCTCACTTTGGTGAATACCACTAATATTTATGCTAAGACGTCTAATAAGGGCATGGCTTTCTGTTTGTGGAAGAATTGAAATCAGCAAAGACAAATGATGCATTGTGTTTGCTTAACTTGCTGGCCTCTTTTTACATCAAAGCAACTGTCAAAAATTTCCAGCAGTAAAAAGTTATTTATTAGCACAGCAGAAATGTACAATTTTCTCCCCATAGAATTTTTCTTCGGATTGGCACAGACCCATTACAAGTATTTTGGATTTCACCACTCGGCTATTACGTACTTTGCGACACTGAGTTATATTTGACAATAGTGGGATTCATGAAACGTCGAAAAGTTGCAAATCGCATTCGTTGCAAAATTTGCCACCTTGCGACACAACTGATTACTTTTGTATGGAAACTCTCCTGCGAGAAAATTGCGACATTCTAAGTGTACACCGAAACAAAAATCTCCTCTCTCAATTAAGTTTACACGGCGGAGCGACTCTAGGAGATATGTACTCTAGCTAGAGTCGAAATAGAGAAATCTCAACTCCCTATCACGTACTCTACAAGCTGTGTACACTGTAGACAATTGTTACCTCTCGCCTAGAGTTAGTTTTCTATCTCGAATTATTGTCAACACTTGTTGTATGTATCTATATCAGAGCCACTATGTAGAAATAAAGGTGGCGCCAACCGCGGACCGCTAACTCTTCGTCGATTTGACAGCATTTACCTATTCGCTGACGCCGTAAAATACTTTTTCGCACTACGGATGAAAATTACATTTTCTAATCGTACCTATGTACGTATAAGACGAAAAAATTGCACCTAAAAGTAAATAAATGTATCTAAAATGTAAAATATGAAAAAAAAAGTTTGAAAGACGTCGTATATGGTAAAATGAACTTCAGTGAAGAAGCTTATCAAATAAGTCTCGGTAAGTTCTTTGAGAAACTGCGAGGAACCTTATGCATATTTATGTTATTGACAGATTGCGGAAAGAATGTAGAAGTCTGTATTTCATCAACGATGGGGACATAAATGTACTTTTCCATCATAAATGCTCGGAACGAGAGTAAAGTTGGCTACAGAATGAAGTGAGTAAATCATTTTCAAATCAACGATAAGCTCTGTATACTTTTTTTATTTTAAGGCTGACACCATTTCGTCGATAGGATCATGCCGGAGATGGATAAATTCTAGCCAAGAGTCTCACGACTCGAGAGACATGGAAGCAAAGAATTTAAAGTTAATGCTCAATGCCACTGAAAGAGGTCCAAGCATCTTTAAGCAATATAAAGAAAAAACCGTGCTGTCAGAAGTTAGTAGTGACATTTTGGTAAATACCATCGTTGACCATTTCTCACCGCAATCAGTGCCTATGACACTGAAGGATATCATCACATTTTCTTAGCAAATAACAATTTTATTTCCCAATGAAGACATGGTGTGTATGCAATTTCATATTCTCTTGCTATTAAAATTTGTAAATACATACGGTGAGTGTCAAATGTAAGTGTACCTACACTTTGTTCTAATATAATATTCACAATTATTTTCCCTAACATATTTTTTTCAT